GAAAAAATATCCTTTAAAAAAGTGAATTTTAAAATAATTCTAATTAGTAGCAATTGTTAAAAATTAACGTAAATAGTTCCAGAAGGCTATTCAAGAAGCAATTTGTTTGAAAACCTAATCATTTTTCCCATTAGAAATAATGTAAATTGAATTAATCTGTTCCAGACTCACAATGATTCCCTATTTTAACCTTTCTCAAGTGATGGTTGTTTCATGAGCACTGTCACACCTTAGCAATATCAGTACTCTTGATGGCCTCTCTATATTTTAAAATTGTGCTAATCACCTATTTCACCAAGCCATACTCCATAGCTAGATCAGACACATGAACACCTCTATCATACTTTGTAATTATTTCTTTTTTAAAGCTCTATCATTGTTCTCACAACTTCTTTTTCAATTTGCTGCTATCACTAACCTCATTAGGATCCATGGTGACTTGGATCCATGTATTTAATAATAATAAGCAATAGCATAAGCAAAAAAAAAAAAACACAAAAATATTTACAGCACAATTTCCTGAGATGTTAACAGAACAAGGTTTAGCAGTAAACTGACTCATACTCAGGCATTCTCTCCATTGTCACATAAGAGACATGTGACTGATGCCTAACCGGTTTGGCTCAATGGATAGAGCATCGGCCTATGGACTGAAGGGTCCCAGGTTCGATTCCGTCAAGGGCATGTACCTTGGTTGCGGGCACATCCCCAATTGGGGGTGTACAGGAGGCAGCCGATCAATGATTCTCTCTCATCGATGTTTCTAACTCTCTATCCCTCTCCCTTCCTCTCTAAAAAAATCAATAAAATATATTTTTAAAAAAGACATGTGACTGATCATAGAGTATCAGCATGAAAGGGTTGTCAAGTCAGAACCCAAGTTTTGTTGGAAAACTGAGACTTTTTTATGTGAACAACGTGGTAGAGAACTGAATTGCTCTAGATGGGAGACATACAAGAACCAAGGCTTCACATACTGTATGTTCAACATCATCCCTGTCCTCTACTGTCTAGATGCCAATAGCAACCTATCCCAATTAGGACAATCAAAAATTTCTCCAGACATTACCAAATGTCCCCTGCAGGAAACATAATCTCTGAGAAAATGTAGCTGCTATTGCAAATTATTTAGGGCTTTATTGGAGCATTCAGCTTTTCTAGATAAATAACAGAATTTTAGAATTATAACATTTCTAAATTTCCTCTAAAGTTTTTTGTGGGATACAAACTATAAGTGACCTTCAGATTGAATTATCTCTAATGTTCCTCTTAAACTTTCAAAGAATTTCACATGAGAAATATTAACAGCCTTTGTCTAATAATGTCTATCTCCACGCTAGGTATAGTACTGAACATTTCATGGTCATTCTCTCCTTTTATACTCATGACATCCTCATGGGATGACTATTAACCCCATTTTAGTAAGAAACAATTTTAAAGTATTTTAATCAACATATCAAAGTATTTCCAGAAATACTTATCATTCACTGTAATCATTCAAGCACTGAGCTACTTGTTTAGTTTACAATCAATTTATGATCAAAGCATTTCAATACATCTAGCAAAAAAATAAGTTCAATTATTATAATCTTCAGGAATAGGGGAAATGTTCACAGCACCTAACAAGTCAGAGAAATAATAATCAGACTGTTCCTTGAAATATTTTTAACACTATGGCCTAATGAAAGACTACTTTTAGACTTTTTCATCCTTGATTCCCTGAGTACATCCAGTAACTATTTTTTCCCCTTTGCACAACTTGTCATAAACAATTCACTTTATAATTATTTGCAAATTTATTTGTAATTTTAATCTGCCTTTCAGTAGAAATTGAAGTCTGGGTTCAAATCACAGCTGGTCCACCTACCAGAAATGAAGGGAATTCAACTATGAAACTTGCATAACAGGACCTAACTGAAGGCTTTAAGAGTTAGTAGGACCCTCAATAAAAATTAATTTCCCCTTCCTTTCATCCTCAAAGTAAATTAAATATAAATTAAGAGCTAATTTAAGCATTTGTTGAGAGTCCACTAATAAGAGTTAAGGGAGGATGTGATAGGGGCAGTTAGTGGACATTACGCCAAGTAACTATTTCGAAATTAACACTTACAATCTCCCAAATCCATCATCACAAAAATCAGTTTAAGCCTAAGGGACTATTCCCTTAGTCTAAGATTTTATATTTACTGGTATTGTTTCTCAAGTAAACAAGTATATCCTCAAATGCATTGAATGGATGCATAATTTATCACTTATATTACCTATTGTCTTCTGTTTTATTTTCCCTTGTGGTAAAAGACATAGAACCTCCCCTTCACCCACACAACTAACTGCCCAAGACATTTTTATTCAGATTTCTTTCTAAAAAGAGAAATATAAATTGGAGCCTTTCTTTTCAGTGCACAAGACTGTGAGTATAAATCATATATTTCATTAACTGTCACCCACCCAAGCGCATATTATCCATTTTATTGATTACTCACAATTAAGTCATTCACTAATGAGTGCAAGTTACTTAATATTACCTTACCCTTAGTAAATATTAGGAAACCAAATGTTAAAAAGAAAAAAAACAACAACAATCTTTGGGAATTAGATTACATAATCCACTTCTTCCTTTGGTGGCAAATAAAACAGAACTACTGTACTGTTAGAATTTATTAATCAATGCATAAAATTCAACTTAACATAGGTAATCTTTTATTCTATCTTAATGTTTTAGTACAAAAAAAAAAAAAAAAAAACTTCACAAAGCTCACCTGCAGGGTGGATCCAGGACAGGAGCCCTAAGAACAGATCTATTGCTAATCTAGAATATTATAAAACATGTAAGGTTTCAGGTAAAAGTTGGTAGCATAAAAGTATGTCAGCATAACTTAACTCATAACTTAGCAATGTAAAAATAAAAGTTTAAGTTCTTCTTGTTTAGTTTTATTTCCTTGTATATTTAGGTGGTATTGGAGTTTTTTAAAATAGTCAACTTCATTGGTACTTAAAATAATTTACTGTCACTGTTCAGACACTGTATTTCACAGGCTAAATTTATTCATCTGTTCTTAAAACTGATTTCACGAAATATAATAAGAGTTAAAGATTCTCCAAAAATGTTCTGGCCCTCAAATAAAATTTCAATGCAATTTCAGCAATTAAGGGTTATTTGATCAAGTAAATTAAAGCTAAAGGTAACCAAAACCAACTTGCTTATTAATGATATCAAAAGGAAAACAGGCCCAGCCGGTGTGGTTCAGTGGTTGAGCACTGACCTATGAACCAGGAGGTCACTGTTGGATTCCTGGTCAGGGCATATGCCTGGGTTGCAGGCTCTATCCCTAGTGTGAGGCATGCAGGAGGCAGCTGATCAATGATTCTCATCATTGATGTCTCTACCTTTCTCTCCCTCTCCCTTCCTCTCTGAAATCAATAAAAATATATTTTAAAAAAGCAAAAGAGAAAATAAAAAGATTTTCAGCCGATGAATATATTAAAAAGATCAATCATAAACTAATTTTCAGATGTTTAAAATTCCCATAGATACGAAGTCTACCGATAACATGGTTTCCAGATGTAAAACATATAGTTAGAAAACAAGTATTGTAAAGACACTGAATCTCTAAATCCAGTGAATGCCACTACCAAAATAAATAAAAATAAGGAAAAATATTTTCAAGAAAGTCACTAAATAGAGAGCAATGCCAAAGAAAAAATACACGCCCTTTATACCAAGACAGTTTCCACCTTCTTATTTATGATAAGAAGGAAAGAAACAAAAATCAAAAAACAGTTTAAAGTATTAAAAACTTGCCTGAAAATTTCAATTCCATCCTTTCCCTTTCAATGTTTGGAAAGGCATAAAAATCAAATTTCAGCAAATATGATGCTTACCTCCTGTTAACTTTATTTTCTACTTGTTACCAGAATGAAATAGCCTAACTTTAATTAATATGTAAAGGATCCAAACCCATTTGTTAGAAGAAGAAACGGTGGGATAGAGAGATTAAGTAACTTGTCCAAGGTAATAACTAGGAAGTGGTGGAGCCATGATTTGAACTCTATTCATAAGATAATAAGCAAATTAAAAAATAAATAAATAAAAGAATGGGTTGGAAAAAAAGAGTAAAACTTTCTGCCAAAACAGTTTGCAAAACAAGACTGTTGTGAATGAGAAAAAATGTTTATAAATATATGTAGATGTGAATGTAGATGACACAACCTTACCCCTAGAAGTACTTTGGTGCTGTAACATTTGATTATGGCCAAACACTTGAAACTACATCAAATCAGAGTGACAGTTGACCAAGTAAATAATTTATTGTCACTGTTCGGTCGAGGAAAGGGGATAAGAAAAGAAAAGATGACAATCACCCTGTCTTAACCCCGCCACCACCACCACCCGCCCCCCAAAAAAGTATCTAAAACACCGTGGGTCAGCGCCTAAACCAACAGAATTGTCCCGGCGGGGTCTCGTGCAGGGATGACAGGAGACCCTAGCAGAGGGGGAGGGGTGGCGATGACAGGAGAGGGAGCGGCAGAGACACGGCAAGCCCCGATCTCCGAAAAAGGGGGCCCGAGGGGGCACAAGGGGCGGAGAAGGGAAGGCAGGAAATGTTGCCAGAGATTCCGAATGAAGTGAGCAGGAACTGGGTGGGAAGCACAAGAAGGCGGGACCCTCGGGCAGAAAGGGGTCTGTCTGGGGAAGGGGAGGCATGTCAGTACTCCAGCGCTTTCCTGCCAGCTGACCCTCCGCTCCAGCCCCTCCACCCGCGACAAACTCTCACTTTTTCAGCAACCCTTAGACCCACGGGTCATGCCCGTCTCGCTCCCCGCTCCCCGCCCCCCACCCCAAGCCGGATAGGTGGAGGGGGGAGCTTCACCCTCACTCTCCTTGTTGGGCTGGCGGAGTGAGCACCGGACACAGCCCTGATTCGAGGACGAGGAGGCCAGGAGACGCAGGGAGGCCCAGTACCCGGGTGTCAAGTCCGAGCGGCCGACGGGCGCCTCACCTGACAGAAGCGTCGGCAGTAATCCCGACTGCTGATCCCGACGACGCCGCCACCGCAGCTGCTGCCGCCAGTGCCGTCGTTGCCGTCGCCCGCAACTCCAAGCCCCGCAGGGCCTGGCGGGGACTCCACAATGGCCACGAGCTCTTCTCCGAGGCGTTCGGCCTCTTGGTCGCTCTCTTCCTCCGCCATGAGGCTCTCGCCGCCCAGCGCGTACCAGCCCCTGCGCCGCCGCCGCCGCCGCTGTAGCAGCCTCGGCTAACCTCCTCCTCCTCTAGTTCCCTCCCCCTTCTCTCCGCCCCTGGTGGACTGGGGCCTCTCGTCTGGCTCTACTTCCGGCTCCGCCCACCCACGCCCCCAGTTTTCAATGGAGAAATCTAGCCGCCAATCATGCACATGCCCGCCTTTCTACTACCATTGGTCAAGGCATTTGTCTGTTTGATAGCTCCGCTGTCAATTGGCCACCGCTGCTCGGCGGTTGCTGGGGCCCGCCTACGAGCTTTGCCATAGGCGGTGCGGGAGGACGGGGCGCGGTGGGGGACACGGCGGCCGCCGCGGGGCTCGACCGGGCAACGGCGGCGGCGGCGGCGGCGGCAACGACGACAAGTCCTTCTCTTCCCTCACCCTCTTGCTCCTTTTTCTCTTACTCCTCCTTTCCTTTCTGGCCGACTCTCGTCCACTTCCCCTAGAGGCCGCCCGGATCCTACGGTAACGAGAAGCTAGGGAGGCCGAGGGTGGGCCCGGCCGTTGGTGCAGGCTCTGGGCCCGGGGCCTTCCTGCCCGAACGGGAGCCGGGGGCGGAGCCGGGGCGACGTTGTCGGCGGATGGAAGGGGGAGGAGACGGGAAGCCTGACAGCGTGCGCGCCCGTCAGGGGCCTACCGCCTCCTCCCCTGAGACTGCCGCCAACTAGGCTGTCTAGTGGCGGGGCCCACGGACGGCAGCTGGGACGCGGCCCTGCCCAGCTAGCGGGGCTGGGGGCGGCGGGGCGCCGGCTGCTGGGGCTGGCGCGGGAGGAGGGCGTCTAGACGGCGAGAACGCCCCGCGCCCCGCCTTCCCCTCGCTCTCCGGAACCCTGGGGCCCGGGGCGCGCGGCCAGGTGCCGAGGCGGGCGGGCCGCCGGGAAGGGAGCGGGTTGCGGAGTGTTGGGGTCCGCGTTGGGGTCGGGACTTGCTGTGTCGAGTTTCCTAAAGAGCGAGGTTTTAAAGACACCTGCGTGGTGGCGGTTGTTGGTGTCCCTGTTCACGTTTTCGCCCGCCCTTCTTTCTCTCCCTACCCCCATTTTTCCTTCCTATTTGTTTTGTGTTTTGCAGTAAAGGCATGACTTCCCCGCATCTCAGGGAAAACGGGGTGCAAGCCCAGAAACTATTTGCCCACCACCACTTGTTGAAACACGGATTTTGAAAGCGTCTCCGGTTGGAACCAACGGAAAGTGCCAGGAGTTCATGCATCTCTGGTCTTGCGCTGGGACCCTTTACTAGTAAGTATCCAGACGGAAAAAACTGGAAACTGATCAGGTAAACATTTAAACTTGAAAAACGGATGACTTTTATTTTGCTCTAGTAAGTGATTTGCTGCTTCTGTTTTGTTAGCTAATTCCTGCTCTTAACTTCGTCCGCGCTTAAAATATCTTTACCTTCTTTTGAAAACACTTTTGTTCTTCAGGTCTGTAAACTCAAGCATCCTCTGCTGGGTACATGTTTGCTTTTGCAGTAACACAGACTTTTGAAAGTTACAAGACATTGGATGTGTAGGCCTTTCACATTATCACAAGTAATTGGTCATTTTATGCCTCAGAGAATAACGAACATTTTTTAAAGTTTGAAATTAAACTATTTAAAGACAAGATTTTTCACATTGAAAGATTTAGGCATTACTGGGCACAAATATTTAATGTTGTTTTATAACTAGTTTAGAGCCATTAATAATTGGGACTGATTTGCTATAGGTGTATAAAATATAAATCATTAACTTAAGGTACACACATATAATGGTAATTCACTGTTTATTGGGCAGGAATCATCTCTGCCTTATCTGCCATTGAACACCTGTAGCCAACACAATATTTGGCACATGAAAGCTATACATTAAACAGATTTTTAACACGTTAAGCCCCCTGTCAGTCACCGGTGACTGACACTATACTTTCCCTCCCGAAGACAAAACAGGCTGGGCGCTTAACGTGTTAATAGAATATTTGAATTAATCCTATTAAAACCTAAGTTTTATCATGCTTTTCAGAATTTATGTGAAACATTAAGTCCTTCTCTGAGTTTATGTCCATAGACAATTTAAAGTTATTTTGAGATAGCTTTCATATTACTCAGCTACAAGTTCTCTAACGTGGATTAACACCATTGTTTCTGATTACACTTATAAAGAAAATGGTACCTATCATATTTCTATAGAACAGAGTTCTATTATCAATTATATCAAATTCATTTGAATTTCTTATATCTAGGTTAATGTAAGAGCTTAACCCAGGGGTGGGCAAACTTTTTGACTCGAGGGCCACAATGGGTTCTTAAACTGGACCGGAGGGCCGGAACAAAAGCATGGATGGAGTGTGTGTGTGAACTAATATAAATTCAAAGTAAACATCATTACATAAAAGGGTACGGTCTTTTTTTTTTTTTAGTTTTATTCATTTCAAACGGGCCGGATCCGGCCCACGGGCCATAGTTTGCCCACGGCTGGCTTAACCCAAAGGCACATGCCTCAGGAAACAAATGGTCTCCACCAACAATATTTGTTCAATATCTCAAGTTTTCAGTGCCACCGGTTTTGACAGTGATCATAAATGTTTGCAATTAGGATAAATTTTGAAATGATTAAGCTGCTTCTGAGATTAATATATGAAAAAATAGTAAAGATAATCATTTACTTATTCCATCAACAAATTGTGATTGAACATCTATCATACACTAGGCACTATGTTAATGAGTTTTTGGTTTTGTTCTAGCTGACTAGTTAAATGGAATAAATTAATAGATGTGGATATTAGTCTTTAATGGAAAAAAAGTGTTAGAAAAAATACTTTGCATATATCTTGATCATCACCTTTTGGAAAACTTAATAGAGGTGTATATGCATTAATTCTTTGAATTCTATTTTTGCTTTAAAATATAATAATATTGTTTCTGATGTTACTGGTGTTCGGTCTGCTTTCTTGGCTTATACTTTTTTTCTCTGAGCAGTTGTGGAAATTATATTTACCTTCATATACAATTATGCCAGTTTATTTATCCCCCTGTTTGAACAAACTTTGTTTACAATTCCCTATGATTGTGTTCGTAAAATCAGTTGCCCCAGAACCGTGAAGGAAAAGAAGCTCTTTTAAACTTGAATACATATCTAAATTGAATGAAATTAATATAATACCCTAAATACTGACCTGTGATTAGGTTTTTCTAAAAGATAGTGACATCTGAAATAGGTGTCATTCTTTTTTCATAGTTTAAATTTATTTGAATTTCATCAAATTCAAGGAATGGATGTAGTTGTTACTAGTAATGGGTACACGATCTATTAATTTAAATTAAGTTTTCTGAAATCTATAATCTTAAAAATGTTTATACTTTTCTTGTTAACTGCTTCCCAAATGAACTGTTGTTATAACACTTACGTTTTTTCTTGTCTTGAAAGAACCTTATTCAAAGTCAAAATGGAAAGATTTGTAGTGACAGCACCACCTGCTCGAAACCGTTCTAAGACTGCTTTGTATGTGACTCCCCTGGATCGAGTCACTGAGTTTGGAGGTGAGCTGCATGAAGATGGAGGAAAACTCTTCTGCACTTCTTGCAATGTGGTTCTGAATCATGTTCGCAAGTCTGCCATTAGTGACCATCTCAAGTCAAAGACTCATACCAAGAGGAAGGCAGAATTTGAAGAGCAGAATGTGAGAAAGAAGCAAAGGCCCCTAACTGCATCCCTTCAGTGCAACAGTACTGCACAAACAGAGAAAGTCAGTGTTATCCAGGACTTTGTGAAAATGTGCCTGGAAGCCAACATCCCACTTGAGAAGGCTGATCACCCAGCCGTCCGTGCTTTCCTGTCTCGCCATGTGAAGAATGGAGGCTCCATACCTAAGTCAGACCAGCTGAGGAGAGCATATCTGCCTGATGGATATGAGAATGAGAATCAGCTCCTCAACTCACAAGATTGTTGACCAGGAGGTTACCATCATTGTGATCAAGATTAAATAATGTGGAGTGTTAAAGTTATGTATTGATTATATGGTTCATTTTTATATTTATTTCGTTTAAAAATCATGTGATGCAGAATAGTTTTTCAATGTGTATATAGTTGCAAGCAAAAACAAAAATTCACCATAAAACTTACTGTTAATTTTAGTCACCAATGGTGTAAAACAAAAATTAAGGTTTAAAGTGTGCTAGAATACCTTAAACCTGATGGTTATCTTTAAAGTTGAAGGTTTTTCTCCTGAAATATTTGTGCATGGACGAACTGCCCTGCTTTTTTACCCTATTGCCATGTATGATTATTCCTTGTGAGAGTACTTAATTACTTGGATTGAAGACTAGCCTAGGAAATTGAAGCTGCTGCCAGGCAACACCACTCACAGTAACTTAAAGGAATTCTTTCTGATTAGAGGATCCTCCTCAAAATGGAAGCGATGGTGGTAAACTGTTCTTGTATATTCAGATCCCTAGCAGAAAATGACTGTTTATTTCAAACTATGCTTTATTTTGTATATGATGTAGTTACTTAGCTATCCTTCAGTTCCTCACTGTATTTTTCCCCCCTTTTTAAAGGCTTATTGTTCTATTTAGTAATAGCTTCAAGTGACCAAAAGACTAAAATCTTTTAATGTCAGTGCCAAAAGCCATAGGGAATTTTGCAGTGACACAATTTTAGTCTCTTAACATAAACACAACATTTTTGAACCATAGCTTTCATTTCAAGCATCATCTTGAGTTTGTAAGCTTTTTTTTTAATGTCTTGATGTTAAAAGACACCAGGATTATCATTTTAATTTAAACAGGTAGACACTTTATTGAGTTTTCTGTTTTTACAGAAAACTAGTAATTTTTTGCTGACAGATCAGAAAATAAGGAAATTACTTTCTATATATTAATTTTTCCATATGGTTTCATAAGAGTTTAGTTGGGATAAGTAGACTAGAAACAAGTTTACTTTCACTTTTATGTGCTTTGCCTCTGGTGGTACAAGGCTTTTAAATGGATGGTAAACATTGTCTAACAGTACAAGATTTTTGTAGTGGAGATCTGGCAGTATCCTGTATAACTCTTTGGGTGAGGAAATAATTAGTTCTGTTAGAGGTCAACCATGTTCAGGAAATGATCTCTATCTGAACCTCACTATCTTTTAAGGTTATCAGAGACCCAAATTATATTTTTTAAAAACTAAACAGTGAAAACTTGGAGTATAGCTTTAAAAAAC